ATCATTTGCTCAAGTTGGTGCAGGAGATGATGATTCTAGAAACTACATCTGCCACTCCTGGGACCAATGCTCTTTGCTAAATCAAAGGCCACATGTGCAAGTAATTCTTATCACTGAAGGGTTAAGGGCAAGCATACCCTCTCCCCTCTGCATTTCATCAGTTTAACGCAGCTGCCAGTCTCCCAATGGAGCCAAGCATTTATAATTCAGAGAAAAGCTTTTGATCAACCCTACCCTAGAAACCCAAATATACCTTCAGTTTTTATTGAGATTATTAGAAAATTATTGGAAATGCACCCTGATAATGATGAAAAGTACCACCGTACACATATATTCCCACTCTGAAATAAAACAACTCAGGGATTACTGCCTGGAAGAGGTAGTAACAACACTCCATCCACCCCCCTTCTCACTCGCCTTTTCCCTCTCAACAGGAAAAAAGCGAGAAAATAAATCAGCATGCCTCTGATAATGGCCTAACTTCACTCCTACCCATCCATCTGCTCCGTGGACTTCATGGCAAAGGCTCTCCATGGAAGAGGTTGAAAAGGAACAACATCTTGCAGAGGGAAATAGATTGAAATGTTAAAACCTGACCTTCCCTGTCCTTTTCACAAGTCATTACATTTGGAGTGCATGCATCACACTGACAGGCTGTCTCTCCCCTCTGATCTGGGAAGTCCAGACTTCCCAAAAAAGGCAGTTCAAGTCTGCCTTGAAAGGAAAAACTGAAAAGTACACTTTTGGACCAAATCAATATTTAACTCCATGCCTGAAAACAGAATAGCACAGTGAAGATGCCAAAATGAATGACATCTAAAGAGAAACATTAAGTACACCGCACTTGGGTCGCTTCAAAGACATTTCTGCCAACTTTATAGTTTTGAAACTTGTACTTACCAGATTCAAGTTTTTTTTTTTTAAACAGCTTTATTGCTAGTTCCAGGCCTTTCTGTTCTTGTTCTTTCCTACCAGTTGTAAGCCGAAGGAAGCATAATATAATATTGGGGGTGGGTGGGGAAGCAGGGAGTAGAGATACAAATCTGGGTTAAAAATCCTAGACTGGGTATCTAATAACTTAAGTAACTTCAGTCAACTTAAGTAATCTTAGTTCCTCATCTTTAATATTACTGATAGCTGGAGTCATTGTGAGGATTAAGTGAGAACATGGAAGCATAGGGCATACTCAGAATAGATGTTCAGAAAATGTTCCCATTTCTTCCTAAGTATGGTGACCACATTCAACCTCAGGGCCAAGAAAAAAACTGAAAACGAAACCGACTCAAACTAATCACACACCAAGTAGTTCCTGGTGTTAAACAAGATACTACAGCCCTAAGCCATCACTTCCAAATCTGTGTTTTTGAATCTGCTCACAGAGTAGCCTGACATCTGCTATCACACAGATATGGCAGCCGGGATGGAGGGCTTACAATTTATCTTTTCCTCTGAGACTCAGAAAGGACAGCTCCGAGACACAGGGATTGAAGGGCTTACATTTTAACTTGTAAACAGTGACGGCGAGCCAAAAATCAGTGAACAATATACAGAGCATCTAACGTCCAAAGAATTATTCTTGGACAATCAATTGTTCACCACACCCAAAAATCACCTTCAGAGCACCATCTCTGAGAATAAAGGTCATGGGAGTATTTGTGTGTGCATTCCCAACAATTAGACAAAGTTTAACAAATGTAATAGTCACTTGGATAATTATAAATGTGTAGGACCCAAAAACACAGCCAATATTATTCATAAAATATACAAAATAAATACAAAATACCTTAAAGGAACAAAGACTGAAGCGGATGACTGAATTTATAATTTATGAAACACTTCCATGGAAGAGTGCAACAGAAACATTGTACATACACAAAGGTATATCACCTTACAGCTCTGTCTGACAGCTAGGTCCAAGGATGCCAATAGTTAAGTGTATAAAGGAGTCAGTAATCTTTTCCCTTAAATATAAGGTTTATAACTATCATTGTAATAATGAACACAAGTTCAGGGAGGGAGAAGATTCTTTAGGAGAGTTTTAACTCAAGATTTGGATCCGATTTTTACTAGTCATTAACTACAGAAGTTCAGTAACTGAAATCTCTATTCAAAAATTCCATTTTTTTCCTGTTAAAAGAACTTTTTAAAGTCTATCCCTTCACTGTTCTTAATTCAGCAATCTTTCACTCTCTCATCTTTCCATTTATGCCCAGTACTTTTCTAGATATACACAGCTTAACTTATATAGACTGATGAGGGGGTAGTCACTGAGTAGGTTTTATCTCAAGATTTTTGATAAATAGATGGACTTCTGTTATTCAAATTTTTATTTACTCTTCCTCAGTGCTTTAAATATTCTAGAGCTTGGTGGGGTGAGAGGAATTACTTTCCATGTCTGAGGGCTCAATCATTGCTGCAACCCATGTTTACAATGAGGTATTTGTATACTTTTCTATATAGTATTACTATCCAGTTTTCCTCCCCAAAACTTACATGATCTTTATCATATAGGAAATAAAACTAGTATCAATAATGCCCAAAGGATTCCCACTGTGTGAGGGCCGAGAATTCCTCCATACACATGCTCTGAACATTACTACCTATAACCTGTCCTTCAAGCTTGATCTCCAGAATTAAATGGTTTGAGCTGATCTGTTAAGTAATTCAGGAAGAAAAAGCACAGTTGAGAGCATCACATGGACACCTTTAGAAAAAAACTGACCACAAGAGAAGTCACCATAACTCTGTACTTCTATCAGCCCATAAAAAGGATTCCTTTTAACTCCCCCTACAGATTTCCGAACAGCAGCTGGAGCTGACTAGGGAGTTACATTGACCACCACATCAATGGTCCAAGAGCATCCCTAACAAGAGGGACCCCAAGCTGATACTTTCCCAAAAGCTTTGTCTTAACCCAAAAAAGGTCAGCCTGGTAATTTTTAGTCTTGTTGTTCGTTTGCTTTGAAAGCTGCAAAATATTATAAACAGTTAAAGAAAGGAACCGCATCCAGTGCTTCTGTATGACAGAGTAAAAGGAGCTACACAGTAACCACTGCCCCAAAGAGCTTGAGAGGTAGAAACATGAATTTCTATATACTAAATCTGTGCCTTCTAGATTTAACAGTAACACAGATCCACCATATTAATGATGGGACATTATTTTCCTAAAGGGTAATTCATACCATGTGTCATTAATCAGCAGGGTAACTCAAAGCTCATGCAAAACATGCTATCCCAGTTGAGAACTTAATTGCATTATTGTTATTATCTGGTTTGTCTGCGTCACTGGCCCTCCCACTTCAAGTGTAGGTACACACACGCACACACACCACCCCCAGCACGCACACACCCACACCCACCCACCCAGTCTGTGTCACTGCCCCCCCCCCTTCAAGTGTACACACACACACACCCAGCACAGCATGGACGGAAAGACAGAACACCCAAGGCTAGGAGGTAAGAACCATGTAGTCTGGTAGAAAGAGGATTTTGAACCAAAAAGGTTTGTCCCTGGAAAGATAGGCCAAGTTTGCACCCAGGCTGCCTTCAAAAGTAATTAAGCCTATGCAGTTCCATTTCAGTGTTTCATTCTGCACAATGGGAGCAGCTGTGTGAGATCTCATACCACGGAGCGCAAGGCAGGCAGCCTCATCCATCTCGCCACAGCCACCACGGAGTTTCCCGTCGTGTGAAAAAGCTCGTGCGCTCTTCGTCCAAAGAGCACAAAGCTAATCTGCCATCCACAACAGTCCCCATATTAAACCAGTCCTCTTCAAGGGTCTAAAGAAAGGCTTTTTCAACGTCCCAGTGTTCTTCAGACTCTGGTCAATCCCCAAAGTTGGGAGGTTACATGCCCAAATCCCGTATGCAGACGCGAAATTCGACTGCCTCAAGCACAAGTTTCTCTTGCTGCCTACCATTGTAGGATGTACAGGTAACTAGCTAGGAAGAGGCATGAGTGCAAGTATCAGGAACGCGTCGAATCTTGCTTGTTTCCCCCCCAACACCCTTAAGGGAGGCTGGGACACTAAAAGTCGAAGTCTGGGGACTAACTGCGGTCCAGACGTCGGCTGGGGCGGGGGGAAGACCGCCACACCCTCCTGAGCTCACGGCACTGACAGTCTCAGGCTGGGAGGGGCCCAGAAACTTACACCCAGCAAGGAAAGGCAGAAAGAAGAGAGTCTTCAAGTGTCTCAGATTTACAAAGCTGGAAAGCTAGGAGAAGCGGATTCCGGGAGGGAGTCAGAGATTTGGCGAGGGGAGGGGAGGGATCCCTAGAGTCAGGACAGCTTGCAACACGTCCCCGCAAAACTGCACATTTTTGTGGTTTGTTTTAACATTCAAGACCAAAAGGAACGCGCCGAGGCGAAGCTTTTCTCTCGCCGGTTTCAGATGTCCCCCTCCTCGCTTAGGGACTGGGACGCCGCACTGCCGCGGCTTTCCTTCTCTTTCCCTTTTGGGGGAGCTCCCCTCGGCCAAGCCAGGCGTCCGCCACCAAGTTCGTCTTCGCTCACCGCGCCGCCCTCAACCCGCCACATGCGCCCATCAGCCCCGAACCCCGCAGGGCCCCGGCTGGGCGCCCGCTGGATGGTTCTCGAGGACTCGGGGTTTGCGGGGAGTTTTTTTCTTAAACAAAAAGCCTTAGCGGCCAGCCGCCCCCTCCTCCAAGCCAGCGCCACCTTCCCTTCACGCCCACGCCGCACCTCCCCGGCACACGCGCCGCGAGGTGCCTCTCCCGCCAGACAATGGGTTCGGGGCCGGCCAGTCAGCCAACCCCCAACCCCGTGCCCCATCCCGGAACCCCAAGAAGGCTTGGCGCGGGTAGATCGGAGGAGGACGGAGAGGAGGCCAAGGGAGGCCACAATAAGCGAAGTGGGCGCCTCCCCCTTGGGACCGGGGATTCGCTCCCGGCGCGGGGAGAAGGGGAGGGGGCGGGGGTCAGCTGCACCGCCTGGTCTGGGGCCCCGGGGCCCGGCTCCCGGCCGCCGCAGCGCACTCACCAGCACGATGGCAAATCGCTCCTCCAGTTCACCTGGCTCGGGCATCGGTAGCTTCAAAGGCACGTTGTGCGCCCTGAAATCGGTCTGCTGTGAATCCATACTCCCGGCGTTGCCCATGTTGGCTGCACGCCGGGGCAGGGGGCTGCTCCGGGCCCCCTGCGTCCGCGTCGGAAATCAGAACAGCTCCCGGCAGCCGGCTCCCGCCCGCTGGCGCGACCAGCCCGGCTCCCCGCCCTCCGCTGCGCCCCGGCGAGTGTGCAGCGCGCGCCGCTCCCTAGCAGCGCTCCGAGCCGAGCCGCCCCCCGGCCTGCCTCATGCTCCCCGCCGCCCCAGCGCCGCCCCGGCCTCCTTTCCTCGGGAGGGGTGGTCAGGGCGCTGGGCGCCTATCTGCATGTTGCTCCGCTGGCACGCCGCCCCCTGCCAGCGATAGCGGCCAGTGGGCGCGTGGTTGCTCGGACTTGGTCTCCCGCCGGGACAGTGATCGGCGCTGACACTTCCAGCTCTACGCCGGCGATCACGACGCTAGCTCGACCAGCACCTAGAGCAGACAAATGCAGCTCCGCGCTCCCGACACAATGCCCCCTCTCGCCCGGCCCCCGGCCCCCGCCCCCGGCCCGGCTCCGCCCACTCGCCCCGCGGACTGCCGGGACCAGTAGTTTCTGCCCAAAGTGTCTGCACGCAGAAACCACGCCCGCTCTGGAGGGCCCGACTGGGTTAGGGCCGCTTGTGCACCTTTGGGAAGTCACTTTTGACCCCCAACCCCACGCCACTCCAATGGAAGAGATACTAATCGTCTACATCGATTAGTAGGCACTCAGGCACATTTGGCAAGTGAATGAATTAGCCAATCAGTCAGATTGAATGCACGCATTCTGATTTAAATTTCAGATGTTCAACAGGAGACCTCATGGGTATTGGCAACTTCCTACGTCATAAACTGGGATGTGGGTCCATGGGTGTTTGTTTTATTCTTTCTTCCCTGTGTATGTTACACATTCACATATTCTTTTGTGCAACTGAAATGTTTTATAAACAAATATACTTTTATGGATATTTACAAACATGCAGATGGATATATACATATATACATCCTGGTCAGACCCCAGGATTTGGATGAGGAGAATTCAAAACAAATACCTGTCAAATAGCCATTACGAATGGGTTACTGTGTTCCTTGACTAGAGAAAGAAAGACTTTCCAGTCGAACGAAGGAGAAAATTTACACAACCATGCTTTGCATGAGAAATAAGAACAGAGCATTTGAAAAGGCTCTGGAGATGGTCCTTGGCTGTAGCTGTTTTATTCCTCTATAGCACTCTTGTTCCAGGTGTCTTACAGAGAAGACTGGGCCCAACCTTGCCCTTCCTGTGTGCTCTTCAGACTGTACTATCCATTCTGAGACAGTGGGAATAGAGACAGCCTTAGAAAAGCGTTTAGCTACGTCTCCCTTTATAGATTTCAAGGATACCCACCTGGTTGACTTGTGGCTGCAGTCCTGTGATTAGTCCTTTCTTAGCTTAAAGTAGTATTTCTTAATCCTGGTTCCTGTATCAGATTCACATGGGGAGGTTGTTAAAACTGCACTGCAGGATGGGCCCTGACTATTATCAGAATTTCCCTAAGCTAAGAGCTAGGGCCTGGACAGGTATATTTTTAACAAGCCCTCCAGGTGCTTCTGATATGAGACTGGAGTTGTTACCCTCTTGTTAAAAATCAACTGCTTCTAGATGCTGCTGCTGCTGCTAAGTCACTTCAGTCGTGTCCGACTCTGTGCGACCCCATAGACGGCAGCCCACCAGGCTCCCCGGTCCCTGGGATTCTCCAGGCAAGAACACTGGAGTGGGTTGCCATTTCCTTCTCCAGCGCATGAAAGTGAAAAGTGAAAGTGAAGTCGCTCAGTCGTATCCAACTCTTAGCGACCTCATGAACTGCAGCCTACCAGGCTCCTCTGTCCATGGGATTTTCCAGGCAAGAGTAGTGGAGTGGGGTGCCAGTGCCTTCTCCGCCTTCTAGATGAGGTAACACCAAAACTCAGGCATCAAGAATCACGTTTCATTCAGGTTTATAAACTTAAAGATGACCTGAACACAGTGGATGTTCAATGACTACTGAATTTTTACCAAAAGCCTATGGAGCAGATATACACAAATACATCATGTGTGTGTATGGTCCCTTCGGTAAATCACTTATAGTTTTTTTTTTTTAAGAAGGGAGCAAGTATAAATAAATTCAACTTAAAATATGAATAAATGCAATCTGTATTTCTAAAATTATACTATATCAAAGTTAATAGTAAATGTGTTACCAATCAAAGAAAGAAAAACAGGGACACACACACACCAGCTAGTGAAAATGAGTGAGAAAGAAAAGCAGCTAATTCAGACCAAGTGAGACATTTCTGACCCACAGATCTATTTATTTTCTTTGTAATCTCTAGACATACACTTTGGGTCTGATTGACTCACAAAATTAGCCCACCTAGGGGGTTGCCCATCTGGATGGAAAATCTAAGAGTCTTTTCTGCAGTTGAGAAATCTCTTTTTATTACGTTTATGGCTCCCTCTGACCATATTTCTGCCAGTAACCAGGACGTTTTTTCCCCCTAAGTCTTATCACATCTAATCTCTCCCATAATCTCACACTTTGAGAGGAGCCAGGGACAAAGTGTGCAAATCCAGAAATCAAAAGAACCTCTCTGCCATTTCAAGGTCTGCAGTCTCTAATATTTGTTATTATGTATGACTCTTATTAAGTGCAAAAATAAATGAAACACTCATTATATTATATAATTTCTGTAGGAATTTCTTCTACCAAAATCTCAGAAAAATGTTCATTTAGGGACAGTGTGGACAGAGAGGAAGAAGACATTTCTATTCCTTTAATTGAAGTCCTCTTCCTCCCTCCCCACAAAATTAAAAGCAAGTGGTCATTTTAAAATATGTATTTCGTTTTCTGATCACTAATACCTATGATTTACAATTTTGCAAAGGTGCAAACTATTGGCAAAAAAGTCTGTTGAAACTATCCATTCAGCTTCCATGGAAAATGAAATATTAAAACTTTATCTGCTCTCTGCCAGGAATTTGCAAACTATACCAGGGATGGCTTGATCAGGAATTCCCCTATAACAGAGTCGCTGCTTTCAAAGAAGCTTTTCCATCATTCATAATACTCCTTACAAGACTGGCTGAGTTTCATTGGTATCTCCTCAGGTTTTTAACGTAAGGAAGTGCCCTGTAGCAAAGTTCACTTAGCTTCTTTAAAGGCACTGGTGTTATCCTAATAAAATTCCCTGTGTGTGTATAACTATATAGAAATGAGATAAGTGTGATGTGATGAACTAAATATGATGATCAATAGCCCTGCATCAAATTTATGAAGTGGTAGTAGCTGGACTTCAGGATTGCTAAAGCTAGAAGGATTGCTTCATGTCAAGTTACATCCACAAAAGTACTACAAGATTCACATACCCATCTATATTTATTTTTAAGGGTTTATTGAGCACTTACTAACAACCAGACACTGCTGTTGATTTTAAACAAAATTTAAAGATTGTTTATCCAATTTCTTTCTCATACAAATATCCTCAATCAAAGTTAACTCACAAAGACTCTTCCTTCTCCTCCTGAATCAGTTAAGATTGAACATTTCTGCCACCAAATAAAAGAGAACCCAAATGATAATGGCTTTCACAAAAAAAAAAAAAGAAATCTGAAGAAAGGTGAATTCTAGTATGGGTTCACCAAGTGGAATTTATCCCAGGAATAAATTTATCCCAGGTTGTTATCAGCAGACAAAAAAAAAAAAACCACACACACACATGATGATCTCAATAGATGACAATCATCTGACAAAATCCAACAACCCTTCCTGATAAAAATCTTCAGATTACTAGAAATAGGAAAAAAAAAAAAAAAACTAGTTCACCTTGATAAAAGACATCAACATAAAACCTACTGCCAATACATACTTAATGGTGACAGAGGAAATGCTTTCTCCCTAAAATCAGAAATAAAGCAAGAATATCTTTTTCACCATTTTAATTCAACAATACTTGGGAGAGTCTAGCCAGTGCAACAGGGTAGAAAACAACCAACCAAAATGCATACAGTTTGAAAAAGAACTAAATTCTTTACTCACAAATGTCATTATCTATGTAGAAACTCTTACAGAATCTAGAAAATAGTAGAATTAACATGTGAGTTTAGCAAGTTTTCAGGATGTACAAAATTGTATTACTTTGTAGTAGAAATAAACTTTCAAAAACTTAAATTTAAAATACCATTTATGTTATTTTAAACGGTATTTTAAATTTCAAAAACTTAAATTTAAAATACAGTTTTTGAAAGTTTATTTCTACTACAAAGTAATACAATTTTGTATATCCTGGGATAAATCAGCCAAAAGATGTACAAGGCTTATACACTAAAAACTGCAGTATATTGTGTACATGGGTCAGAAGACTCAATATTTTAAGATGCAATTCTCCCCAAATGGATCTATAGATTTAATGTATTCAAAAATAAAATCCTAGCAGACACTTTTGTAGACACTGACAAGCCACTTCTAAGATTTATGTGGAAATTAAAGGACCTGGGGCTTCCTGGTGGCTCTAGTGGTAAAGAACCCGACTGCCAATGCAGGAAACCTAAGTGATGCGGTTTGATTCCTAGGTTGGGAAGATCCCCTGGAGAAGGGCATGGCAACCCACTTCAGTATTCTCACCTGGAGAAACCCATGGACAGAAGAGCTTAGTGGGCTAGAAACTATAGGGTCACAAAGAGTCAGACACGACTGAAGCGACTTAGCACACATGCATAAAGGACCTAAGATAACCAGGGAGCGCCTGGGATAACCAGATGGCACTAGTGGTAAAGAACTCGCCTGCCAATGCAGGAGACGCAGTTTGATCCCTGGGTCTGGAAGATGCCCTGAGGAGAGCATGGCAACTCACTCCCATATTCTTGCCTGGAGAATCCCTTGGACAGAGGACCCTGGCAGGCTATAGTCCATAGGATCATAAAGAGTTGGACACTGCTGAATCGACTTAGCATGCATGCAGGATAGCCAAAACAACTTTGAAAAACAAACAAACCAAAAAAAAAAAAAAAAAGGGA